TCCAGTTGCTTTTACATAAAACTAGGGTAATCCAAGAAATGCATAACTTGAGCGTGGCATCAAAACGGCCAGTCATCTAATGTTCCTCCCTCTGGTGCCCCAGAGCACCACACAGGTGTCTAGAAAAAGCGATCACAGCAGTGTGTTCCTACCCAAACACTCCTTCCAAAGCACGGCTTCAACTTAAAATCTTTCCGATTTACAAGATGATTCGCAACCAGATTCCCTTCGATTCAGCTTTTAAAGAACCATTCTGCTGATAAAGCACTGAATTTTTATGCTTATAAAAATGTGGTCTTCTCACAATTTTCCAAGACCCCATCTAGACACAGGCATCCACTTCCTTGAGAAAAAAAAAATGCTTTCAGCGTCTGTTACCCCAGAAGAATTTCACATGTTTTGAATTCTTCAGTTGAAAAAGAAGTTTTTAAACATAACTGCTTTCTTTTATATTAATGGCTCTCGTGATGATAAAATAAAGATCAATGTAACTCTAAGCTCCAGGCTAATGAACTGCATGCGGGGAACAGAAACAAGAAATTTGGCAAGAGCTGAGCAGAGCTCTGCTTAAAGGGTACTAGTAAAACAGACCAGCTCCCCTCCCCCACTCCCAACCCTTTAAGGTTTCAATTAAGATGGGGCCTAGTCTGATTCTTAAAAGGGGACAGAAAGAGAAAGCATAGCTCCTGCTAAGTTTCTTCTTCCGGGGCAACTCTAGAATATAGACAAGAACTATTTCCTTCCTTCAGTTGACACAGGCATGTCTCTCTCGACACCCCACCTGGATAACACCAAATCTAAAGATAAGGAAAGTCTCATCAATTGTACCACCCAAAAGATGGCATCAAATCAATCAGAGTAATTTTCTTTTAATCCAACACTGGGATCACAAAAGATGGCATGAAATGACTTTTTAAAGCCCAACACTGCATATCATTAATACGCCATAAAAACAGTATTTGTTTTCCCTACTGTGACTCTCCTTTCTGCTGCCTCTCCTGGATTAGTTACGGGATGAAGATGTTTTAACAAAGCATATATTTTCAAAATTAACTTAAGTGCTCCAGCTGCTGAAAAGATTTTCAAAAAACGCAGGCTTCCAGGATTCCTCAACAAGAAAGGCATAAATGGGTAAAGACCCCATTACATACAGAGATTATCACAGCCCCCCCAAAGATACTCATTCATTTTTGCCAAGTGCATAATCGGCGCGTTAGTGGACATGCAGGCCAGTGTTCCAGCCAATATGAACCAGAGAATGAACCCAGGCACGAAACTAAAAAAGAACCAGTGAAAAGTTAATGCCCCTCTAAAAGGAGCCCAAGAATGAAATAACTTCACTATGTAAGGAACTGTAAGACATCAAAGGTTGTTAGATAATGGACAACAGGTGTCTTTGGAGAGAAAGGAGCCACAATGAGTTGCTCCTATTTTCGGATTTCCATTCTCAAAGCAGTGTAATAACAATGATTTTTTTTCTCAAGAAAATCAAGACCAAAATTGTGACTCTCTTTAACAACTGCAAGAACCTGATGCTCTTCTACTTGCTTTTTATTCTACTTTTATAATCCATTAATCCCAACCTTGTGTGGGCAGATTAAAATATGGCTTAGAGCCAGATGGCTTACTGATCCATGAACATTAACTAACTAGAGATTTATTATCAAGAAATGGAAAAGAAAAGCATCTGAATACAGGCTACCACCACATAAAATATTTAAAATAAAATCAAATCCAGCAGCGGGTATCACATAACTGCAGTATCTGCCAGAGCAGAATCGTTTCTCTCACCATAACACTTAAGAGTTCAATCTTTACAGTAACTGGATTCCAGTGGCCTCAAAGAATCGTAATTCCAGACACAGGTCCTGGCTACCCTAGAGATCTTCTGTTCCTCAGACCAGGCACAAAATTTACCACCTGTATTCTGGCTAAAGGAACACTAAGAAGACACTTCAGCCTACCGAATAATCTATTCCCTTTCTCTCCATTCCACAAAGACAGCATATTCCAAAAATGGAGAATCCTTTCTTTCCCGATCGAGGCCCCCTTTCTTATGGATTCATTGGGCAGGATTACTTCTCTCCAGCATGCAATGGAGAACACATACTTCTGCTTTCACTCTTAAAGAGGGTACCCCAACACAGATGCACCTCTTCCTTTCCTGTATTAAGTAAATGAGGTGCTCTCTCTCCACCACTACAAAATGTTCAGAGAAGTGGAGGGAAGTTATCAGTTACTTAATAAATCTCCAAATATAAAGACTGACGAGGGGTGCCTCCAATTCAGAAGTGGGATTGGGGGGGGGGGTCCCTACTCTCTGCGGAAAGGTTGCCCCAGTCCTCCTAGAACTCCCTAAGTGGAAAAACAGACCCTTGTATTTGATGAAGGGGTGCTCCGACTTTAATCGGGGTCGGAGGACGGTGTTAAGTGTGCCGGGAGGGACGTAGCAGTTGCTGGGGGTCGCCTAGGGGAAGAAGGGCCCCAGCACTGAAGGGGGCTCTGGGAAGAAAGGTGGGTCTGGAGGCGAGGGCTGCATGGGGGAGGGGCCGCCCGTCCGGGAGGCGGCGGCGGGGCTGCAGCCTCGCGGGGACCATGTGCGGGAAGCGGCGGCCACCCGGAGGGGCAGCCGGGGAGCAGGGCCTGAGGCGCGCACGCAGGAAGCCGGGGTCCCGGGTTACGCACGAGGGGCGCGAGCCCGCTGCCGGACTCACCGAGGCTGCCGGCGAAACCGTCCATCTTGCGGGGAACGCGCCGGGCTCGGGGCTCAGCGGGGCGGACGCTTCATTCAGCACGCTGACCGAGTGGCGGCAGCGGAGCCTGACGCGCTCGTCCTCAGCGTCGCCAGACGCGGCTCCTGACTCCCGCCTCCGCCGTCCGCCCGTCAGTCCGTCAGCCCGGGGGGTCGGTGGCTCGGTCAGTCAGGTTGAGAGCCGCACAACCCTCCGCCTTCCCGGCCTCTCTACTCTCTCTCTCTCTCCCAAGCCGCAGCAGTGAGCGCCGCGCCCCGCCCCCGCGCCCGCGCGCAGCCACGGCCCCGCCTCCGCGCACGCCGTCACGCTTCCGATCCCGCCCCCCACGTGACGGATCGGGGCGGGGCTTCTTGTGGCACGCCCCTTTCCTTGCCGGGCCTCTGCAGCCGGCGAGGTTCCTGGAGCAGAGAGGCTAGTGGCTTCGCTTACGTTCTGGTCCGGGTTCGCGACCCGGGTCCCTCCAACCCGAAGTAGGGGCCGAGTGAGTGGGGCTCAAGAGCATCTTGCTGCTTGGGAAATTCAATTGCGTGGTGGGATTCTCTCCCCTCTGGGGACCCCGTTAATTCCAGATCTTGTAGGGAGGTAATCCCCCAAGGACGATAAAGAGACAAACAAGTGAGAGAAGGGATTCCCCCTTCCTGGGGTTCCCCTCTCCTTTAGTCAGGTGAGAAATAATAAAAATAGAGGCAAGACTTCTTGGCCAGCTTGGGTCCAGCAGTGCCACAGCCATAGGTCCCAGGACACACAACAAATAAGCAATGTTAGTGTTGGGTGAAGAGTTCATCTTACTCAGTGGTTCTCAACCTTCCTAATGCTGTGACCCTTTAATATAGTTCCCCGTGTTGTGGTGACCCCAACCATAAAATTATTTTCGCTGCTACTTCATAACTAATTTTGCAACTGTTACGAATCATTATGTAAATATCTGATAGGCAGGACTACCAGGTTGAGAGCCCCTGGAGTGTGGGGGGGAGGGGCGGGAAGAGGTAGCCTGCCCAAGGTCATGGAGCCTGGGGAAGTACCTCTAAAAGGCCAGCTTCCTTCCTCTCCTTTTGTTCCTTCCATCAGAATGCAAAGCCATGGTTGTATAGCAAGCCATAGAATAGCCTATCAGGAAATTATATCACAGACTTTTTTTTTAAATAAACCTGAGATCAGACCCAAATCCATGAAGTCACCTAACTCATTTAGGCCTCACTTCATTCATCTGCTAATCCAAGGGCTATTGTGTTCCTCGCCTGCGGTTCTCCGCCTGTCCCCTTCCTTATAGAGACAGTTGGATAGTTTAGGTCCCCTCTAGGTTGAAGATGAGAGTGACAAAGAACTGTGGGTGTTCAGAGACTGACTTGGATAGACCTTTTAAAATAGCTAAATTGGGAAAAAGTAAGAGTGTTTGTTGTTAGAATTGCAGGTTACAGGTTACAACCCGTAGACGAGAAGAAACGGAGGCAGCCAACTGTAGCCGTGAAAGGACTGGTAGAATTAAGTGGAGGAAAGGACTCTTAAGCATCCTTGAAGTTTACTTCTCCCCTTTGATGCTCTTTCAAAACCTTCTTTAAGGGCCCGAGGGCACAATCCAGAGTCAGATTGCACTTAGAATGTGTGAAGCACTGAGTTTGGTCTCCAGCTCTGAAAAAACAAACAAACAAAATCTTCCTCAAAAACCTAAGTAAGCATTGCAGCCGAACTAGGAAGTCAGGGCTGTGATTAGGACCCAGTAAGGCTGAGAGTTGGCACACCCTGTGAAGTGCTTTTTGTGCAGGGATGAGAGCCTGCGTCCAACCCCGGAACCCACAGTTTTCAAAAGGGTGTGATAGAGAGCACTCGCGGCCTGGGTGCTGGGGAGATGCAGACAATGGAGCCCTGGGGCTTGCACAAACAGCTCCAGGCCAACGGAACAGAGCAGGTGAGACTTTAGGCCTGAGATTGACCTCCAGCACACACATGCACAAGCACACACAAATACAAATATGGCATTATTAGAAGTAAATCTTTCATTTGTTTGTTTTTGTTTTTTGAGACAGAGTTTCTTTGTGCAACAGTCCTGGCTTTCCTGGAACTTGCTTTGTAGACCTGGCCTCGAATTCAGAGATCCACCTGCCTCTGCCTCCCGAGTGCTGAGATTAAAGGCACGCACCACCACCACCACCCGGCTAAAAATAAATCTTAATTAAAAGGAGAGGAAGGCAATTCGGGTTTTCTTCTAGCACGGTAGACCAATTTTTACGCTATTGATAGTTGAAATAAAACATGACTTTACACTTATAGTAAGGCTACATATGGCATTGCTAGAGGTATTCTGATTAATTTTATTTCCTACAGTTCATGTTTTAGAAGGAAAAGTGTACCCTGTATTGTGCATGTAAAAGTCTACAGTGCTGCATAACTGAGTATGTTCCTGACTGAAGACAATGTCTGTTTTGGCTTGACATCAATGAAAAACAAATTCTCCGCTTACAATGTTCTTACCGAACGACTGCAAGGATCTTCCCCCTCGATCAGCTTCTGCTTCTTTGTGTTGCAACCCTTGCTTCTCCCACACTCCTCACATTCTGCTGCCAGCCCTGTGTCCATACCGTGTTATAACCTCTAGCCCTGAAACTCTGTGACAGGATGCCAGGTGAGTCAGTGCCGTGGGCCACGGGAGCGCTCCCAGAATCCATTGCTAAACAGAAGTAGCCAGCAATGATTCAATGCAAATGGCTGTGGGTCTGTGTGGAATTTATCACTAAGCTTAAACTTAGATGTATTCCCGACTCAACTTTCCAAAACCGGATGCCCCACATATCCAGTTTTCCCAATACTGCCTGCTTGGGTGGAGTAAGTGGCAGAGGGAAGATCGTAATGGAAAGGTACACCTGCTCACACACTCGCCTTGCAGGGCAGGGCACCTTCATCTGCAATCTCTACACCCTGGAGGTTGAGTGGGGGAAATCAGAAGTTCAGGGTCATCTTCAGCTACACTTTTGCAACCAACCTGGATTAAATAGACCCTGTAACTGTGTCTCCAAAAGCAAAACAAACAGGAAAATTGGGGACAGGTGGTAAAGAAACTTGAAGCTCAGCACTGTTAATTGCATGATAAATCTGGCTGTGTTAGTTATTTTTGGCAAAATAATCCAGATTTATTCTAACTAGTGAGACCAACTAAAGGTGTTTTGTTGTTGTTTTTAAAAACTGAGACAGGAAAAATGAAATAAATATTCAGAATTAGGACAAATAAGGGCTGTGGAGATGGCTCAATTGGTAGGGTAAAATGTTTGCTTGTAAGCCTGAGGACTTGAGTTCAAGTCTGCAGAATCCATCGAAAAAGCTAGCACTTCAGCTGAGCAGTGGTGCATGCCTTCAGTCCCAGCTCTTAGAAGAGGCTGGTGGATCTCTGAGTTGGAGGCCAGCCTGGTCTTCAAAGTGAATTCCAGAACAGCCAGGCTGGCTGTACAGAGAAACCCTGTCTTGAACAAAAAGAAAAGAAAAGCTAACATGTCAATATGAGTCTATAACCCAGTACTGGAGGAGCAGAGACAGGCAAGTCCCAGGGGTTTCACTGGGCCAGTCAGTCAGTTTACCCAAAATAGTAAACGTTCTATGAGACGTTCATTGAGAGACCCTGTCTCATAAGGTGGAAGGAGACAGAAGGCAATCAGTATGGATCTCTGGCCTCCATATATACACATAGATACACATATACACAGAGAGAGAACAAGTAGACTAACTTAGGTACAATCACCTTCCCTCAGTGAATTCTGAGATCTTTCTTGGGTGGATATGTTTTATTTTCTTCTTAATAAGAATCATATGAAATTGAATTTACCAGAATTCCCAACAGCATGAAGGAGAGAAAAAGTCTTTTCTTCAAATATTTCTGTTTTTCAAGAAATCCCTTTGTCCAGTGAACTCCATGGTCCCTGGTGTCATTGCCCTACAAGGTTCTTTTTTGTCCTTTATCACATTTTATCCCCAGGCCATTGTCTAAGACTTAGTCACATGGCCATAGAGTTAGGAAACACTCTGGAGTTTCATCCACTAGGCTATACACTGCGAAGGTAGCTTCTAGAACATGCAAGAAGTGCTTGAAAAGGCAGGCTCGACCAGGACTGGGGGCGCATACCTTTGATCCCAGCTCCCAGAGACAGAGTCAGGCCTTGAACTCTGTGAGTTCCAGGACAGCCAGGGCTACACAAAGAAACCCTGTCTTAAAAAAAGGAAGGAATGGGGAAAGAAAGAAAGGTAAGCAAGCAGATTTGGCTTGAGATGGAAATGTAGCTCAGTTAGAGCACTTGCACACAGCCCTGGAGTCCATCCCCAGAACCACATGAACAGTGTGTAGTGATACAGGACTATAATCCTATAATTGCCAGTATACGGTAGGAAGAGGCAGGAAGATCAAGAGTTCAGTCAGTATCACCATCGTAGCTATATATCGCTCTATAGCTAATCTGAGGCCATACCGAGCTATGTGATATACTGTCCTTAAAGCCAGCCAGACAAACAACAGCAACATATGCGTACAGACTCCACAAGCATAGTCTTATACTGCCCAGATTCTAACTCCAGCTCCAGTCAAGCTAAGTGACATTGGACAAATTATCTAACCCCTGCACCTCAGGATTTCACAGGTGTGATAGCCACATTTTCTGTGGCCCTAGGCTGCAGAAAACAGAGTATGATGACCCAGGAAAAGCTTCCAGAACAGGGTCCAGTGTCCTGGGAGCACTAGTAGCTGTTGTAATACCACAAGCAGTTACACTTCTGTTTTGCCCACCTATTCATATTCCAGTATGTTCAGTAGCTGTGTGGCAAATATATACTAAGTAATGAGGAAACATGGGAGAATTGAAAACTACTCAATCAAGCCCGTTATTTTAACACCTGGTGCCCAGCTGCTTTATAGCAACCAATATCAATTGATCTGTTTTCTATTTCTCCAATGGAATGTTGCAAACCATCTAGTTACTATAATGAAGTAAAATGGTTAATATGAGTCTTTCAAAATGAGTGTGCAAGCTAGGCGGTGGTGGCACATGCCTTTAATCCCAGCACTCAGGAGGCAGAGACAGGCGGATATCTGTGAGTTCGAGGCCATCCTGGTCTACAGAACGAATTCCAGGGCAGGCTCCAAAGCCTGTCTCAAAAAGAAAAAAAAGAAAACAAACAAACAAACAACAACAAAAGCAACCAAATGAGTGTGCAGCAAGTTATTATCATTAAACATGAAACACACATAGGACACCAAATGAATGAGACAGTTACTGATTACTGAATGCCTATTTGAATATTTCATCTTTTTTTGAATGAAGTTTCTCTTTCTTTCTTTCTTTCTTCCTTTCTTTCACAAAGTGAGTTTACTAAGAAAAGTTTTAGTACACCTTTAAGAACCCACACTAAGGGAGAAAGTGAGATACTTAGGATATATACTTCTCAAGAAAACCACCTAGGTTATTCACCTTAAAATGGAATTTATGGTTAGATCATTTTCATTTAGAGACCTTAAAGTATAATTCAAAAATTTATTACACTGTATTTAGAGTGCACGTGTGTGTGTGTGTGTATGTGTGTGTGTGTGTGTGCCTGCAAGCATGTTACGACACATGGATGGCAGTCAAAGGACAAGTTGCAAGAATTGGTTCTTTCCTTCCACCATGTGGGTCCTGGGGATTTACCTCAATTTTGGCAGCAAGTACCTTTACCAGCTCAAGGATCTTGCTAAACCCCTGTACAATTTAATTCAGCAAAGTCAAATAGGTACCATTTTTCATGAGCTCAACTATCACGTATTGTGGTAGGCCCCCTAAGGGAGTGGCACTATTGGAAGATGCGGCTTTGTTGGAGTAGGTGTGGCCTTGTTGGAGGAAGTGTGTCACTGCAGGGACGGGCTTTGAGGTATTTTTCTTAAACTTGGCTTAGGGTTACAGTCTCCTTCCTGCTGCCTGCAAAATGTGGGACTCCTTCCTGCTGCCTGCAAAATGTGGGACTCCCGACTGCTTTGCCAGCAGAGCTCAGCTGCTTTGCCAGCACATCTGCCTGCACACGGCCATGCTCCCCGTCACAATGATAACAGACAGCCTCTGAAACTGTCGGCCTGCCCCAATTAAATGGTTTCTTTTTAAGAGTGGTGTTGGTGTCTCTTCACAGCAATAGAAACCCTAACCAAGACACTTATGTTATATGTAGCTATATCAAAAACAAAAATTTAGAACTTGTTTCTTTTCTTTGTTTAGACAGGGCATCTGGGATAATACAGGCTAAGCTCAAACCCTCTGTGTAAATTTAGATGGCACCGAACTTCTGATAGCCCTGCTTCTACCTCCTCCACAAGCATGTGCCACCATGCCTGGCTAAAATTCAGACGCTCGACTCTAGCCTAGTTACCTTCCTCTGTGTCAAAGTGAGAACAGCGTGGGAAGGGCTTCAGAATACCTGTGAAGACACATTCCATCTATTCTCAAAGCCTTGGCCTCACGATTGAGAAGAAACGGAAGTCTCCTTTATTGATCCCTTTATTCACTCCCTCTGGTTAGATGACCTTCCAACGTAAGTACAAAAGATTTGTCTGCTTGGTTTTTTTTTTTTCCTCAGATATTCTTCTAAGTGTCAAGAGAAATTAAGTTTTGTAAAAGAATGTTGTGTTTTCAGTCCTTTTGAATTTTATTGTTTGAATGTTATATTAAAATGAACCCCTAGCCAGGCAGTGATGGTGCACACCTTTAATCCCAGCACTCAGGAGGCAGAGGCAAGGAGACAAGGCCAGCCTAGTTTACAGAGTTAGCTCCAGGACAGCCAGGGCTACACAAACCCTGTTTCAGAAAACAGAAACTATAAAAGAAAAGAAAATGAAACTCTATAGTCACATAATTATGTAGATTTCATAAGCCTAGAGTGCACATAAGCGTAACATGATAGAGAAAAGCCTCAATTCCTTTTGTTCATCAAAATCAGAAATAATATCTAGCATATGGATAAAGATTTTTAATTTTTTAGCTATATGTATATGTGTGTCTATGTGTAGGTTTATGCACATGTAGATACAGGTGCCTATGAAGGACAGAAGAGGGTGTCAGAGCCCCTAGAACCGGAATTACAGGTGATTATGAGTTGTCTGGGGTGAATGTTGGACTGAAACTTGGGTCCTCTAGAACAGTGCATGCTATTAACTGGAGTGAGCTATTTTTCCAACCCTTATTCTTTGTTTTAATAATATATTTATCAAGGGGCTGGAGAGATGACTCAGTGGTTAAGAGCACGGACTGCTCTTCCAGACGACCAGGGTTCATTTCCCAGCACCTTATGGCAGCTCACAACTGTCTGTGACTCTAGTTCCAGACACCTTCACACAGATATAGATGAAGGCAAAACCACCAATGTGTATAAAATAAAAATAAATAATATACTTAACAAAAGCAGGATATGTGTTAGAAGATTCTAAATGGTAATATTTTTGTTTTTTAGATTCTAACCCTCAAGAATGGTCAGGGATTGCTGGGCTTGGTGGTGCATGACTGTAAGCCATGCATACACTTGGAATCAGGAGTTCAAGACCAACCTGAATTAGAATTACACTGTTCTACTTGAGACCCGTGTAAGCAAGCAAGCAAGCAAACAAACAAACAATCCAGGCATAACTCAAAACTATCACAAGAGGGGGAAAACAAGAATAGACATAGATTCACTCTAAGGGGTTACATGGTAGCCGACTCTGGGAAATGATAGCAAGCTGGGGAAGGAGAAGGTAGTAGAGAGATAAAGGGAGGGTCACTTTTGTATTGTTTTAATCATATAATAACCGTATATTATCCTATAAGCCACTCAAACTGCAAGAACAGGAAGTAAGCTACAGAGCCCAAGAATTCCTACACTCACCTGCACGCAAACTATCTATAGAGATTGCTTTGAAGAATACTTACTTAGTAACGAGTGTACTAGTGTTGACCTGAGTGTCATCTTTCATGTAGGATTTCCCACTCTTACTGGCCTTCCAGATGAAGAGATCAGCAGTGCTATAAGGTGTCAGAGCTGAAGCCTATCCTGTGGCTCGTTAGCCGTCCCTCACACAGGGGATTTGTTTCTGGGATCCATGAGTGAATGAATGGACACCAAATGAGCCTAATTTTGGCAGTTGCAATGGCACCATCTATGACTACTAGCTCAGAGAAGCGAACCACCTGGGGCTATGGGACTTTCTCCAAGTGATGACAACTTCAAAGTTAGGCCATAGAGTGGGGTCTAAACATGTAGAACCAATAACCAAACTTGTTGGTTCGAGAATCAACTTTAAATTTTCTTTTTATGTGCTTCTCCATGTTTAATAGATGTTGGGCAAGCCTTAGACATAATAGCTAATAATTTCCAGTGTCCTTCAAACACATGACTCCCTGCCCCCTTAGGGAATTCATGGCAGCCTTTTACAGAGTGAAACCCCTACAGGGAAACACTTTCAAACAGCAGCGTTCGAATGGAAAGCAGCCAATTGGGGGGATTTAATTCTCAAAGTTAATAACATAGGAAGCTCTCTACTTGCAAATAAAATATTTTTCAAAGGGTCATTTGTATGTCAGTTGTTTGAAATTAGGAACAATGCTGTAAATGATGGTGAGAGTGCTCCTTTGCCCCCCAAAACATGTAGCCGGCTGATCCTAACCTGCCTGTGCTAAAACCACAGTGATGACAGCCTTACTTAACATCTCGAACCAGACAGGTCTGAAGTTGAATATTGTCTCTTGTAAGCATCTGTGGGATGATGTTGCAACCTAAATACAACATGTAATGCCATTTAAACTTTCAGAGTGATGACTTACAGATGCCCTATGAGATGGATCTTATTACCCCAGCTCTTCAGAGCCAGAGAAGAAAGCTGAAGAATATGAACTAGGAAGGCAGGAATCAAGGTCTGACCCCACATCAGTTTGATCTGAAGGCTGCGTCCTTTCAAGGTACCAGTTGGCCTTTGAGTCTCTTTGGGGTCTTGTGGAAATCCGTGAGGATGCTCAGGTGAGGCACGAAGCAGTAACACGATTTGAGAAACAGTGGTGCGATCAAAGAGCTGCTTTGTGAAGATTAACCTAGGGGTGGGTAAACGGGAGCAAGGAGTGGAAGTGTGGAATCCAGTTAGGGTTGCAGTAGGGATGGTGGAGAGAGAAAGAGGGGTTGTAGTAGGACCGCAGTTGCAGAAATATCCAGAAGACAGGGTGGAGGAAAACAATACACAAACCCTTGCTGACCTGAGTGACTGACTGCCCTGAAACTGAGGAAGAAGAGAGAGTAAAAGAGGGTCCCCAGGTCCCTGGCCACCGAGAGAAGGATGGCAACATTTGGTGCAAAAAGGAAGTCAGAGACATGAGATAAATGAAGACAAAAATATATAGTGATTAATTTCCTTTTGGGTGAAGCCGAAGGGAGTGAGAGGTTATTTTGGCAGCTGGGACCCAGGCACATGACCTTAACCATTTGGATAGTATGAGCTAGGTCTTTCAACCTGGACAGAATGACACAAAAACTATCATCAGACACCACACTAAAAGGGGACTGAGAAAGTGTATAATCATTGAGACTCAATGATAATGTTGCGGGGTGGGGGTGACAGCCAGTACCAGGGCAGCGTCCTCACCCACTTCGGCCTGTAGGTAAAGAGGTCTCTGTGCCCTAGACTTCCTGGTTTCTCTGTCTCTCTCTCTCTCTCTCTCTCTCTCTCTGTCTCTGTCTCCCTCCCTCCCTCCCTCTCTCTCTCTCTCTCTCTCTCTCTCTCTCTCTCTCTCTTTTGCCAGCTTCCTGTGGCTGTTCTTCCAACATTCCTGCCAATGAGCAGGCTACTTGATACCCTCTCAGCGAGTTTATTCTCTGCTTGGGTAAGCCAGAGTGGGTTTCTGATGTTTGTAGTGGAGAACTCTGAGTGGTACAAACACTGCCTTTAGTTTTAAACAGACTGTGCTTGGTTCATAACCAGATACCCGAATGGAAGTCTCCCAGTACACAGCTTAAAATGTGGGATTTGAATTTAGGATGGGAATTGGGTCTAAGTCATAAGAAATCATTATGAAAAAAAACTTTGCAAGAACCCGGGGACAGGCTGAATGAAGAAGCTGGAGGAGTGCCAGTATTAGGCAAGCAAGAGCAGGCGTGAGGAAAGAGACCGGCAGGAGCAAGCCGGTGTGGTGGGAGCCTGCCACCCCAGCTTCAGGTTTACTGTTAGGCATCTCTTTTATTTTTTAAGATGATTATTTATCTTTATGTGCATTTGTATTTTGCCTGCATGTAGGTCTATATGAGGGTGTAGGATCCCCTGGAACTCAAGTTACAGACAGTTATGAGCTGCTATGTGGGTGCTGGGAATTGAACTCAGAACCTCTAGAAGAGCAACCAGTGCTCTTAACTGCTGAGTCATCTCTCCAGTCCCTTGTTAGGCATCTCAGTTGACAATCTTTGGAATATCTGCTAGTCTATGATTTTCATAGCTCCAAATTATTTCCCCTTCCTCCTTCCCTCCCTCCCTCCCTCCCTCCCTCCCTCCCTCCCTCCCTCTGTCTCTTTCTCAACCTCCTCCCTTCTCATGTATGTGTGTGTATATGTATCTGCACGTTCATGCGTTAAACCTGCACATGGTGTGGAGATCAGAGGTCACACTAGGGTGTCTGGCTTTTCCCCCTGCGACTCTGGAGTCCTCATGTATGTGGAGTAAGCATTTTCCTCTCTGAGCCATCTCCTCAGCCCACAACACCAAATTTTAAATTCAAGAACACAACAATCAAATACAGTATCAAACCATTATAGTAAATGCTTGCCAAAAAAAAGAGACATAGTTAGAAATTGCCTATGCCATAAATAATAACTGTAACTTGTTTATATGCTTTTAAATCTTTCTCCAAGGATCAGAAGCCTATGCGTAAAGCTCATGCCTTTGGAAACAAATTGCCACGGAAATGCAAGAAGAAATGAACGGTTTCCGAGTGCAAAACGCTTGGCCTGTGCTAGTAAAAGTAAAGAGGTCCCCACCCTTACCTTATGCTCTTTCGTGGATGTAATTCAAGCTCATAAAGTTTTCTTAGCGGGTCTAAGAAGCCTTTCCCTTTGCCTGCAGGCTGGAGAAGCAATCTCCTAGTGCTCACCATAGTTTCATTCCAACGGTCAGCTGTAACTTCAGGTTCTTATGGGTATAACAGAGCAAGGTATTTTGCCATTAAGCAGCCTGGAATTAATTTTATTAAAAATAAAGATATAAAATTAATAATCTGATCTGGAGCAATTCATTCCTTTTAAGGATGTCAAGTGTGTGTCCATGCAAACATGATGCTCATGTCTGGTGTCTAGATATACAGTAGCCAAGATTTTCAGACTTGCCCCTCCCCAGCCTAGAGCTTTGCTTGCCCCATTTAGTGTATTTGATGAGGCTGTGAACAGTCCACAACAGTCGACGATGGGGACTGTTGAAGTCCTCCCACTTAGAAGGGGTCTTTTCATCCTTCTCCATTTAAAAAAAATTGTTTTTATTATTTTAAAGCCCACATGCATAGGCACAGCTCTCCCTGGAGCTGGAGTCCCATGTGGATGCTAGGAATCAACTGCAGGTCCTTTGGAAGAGCTCTTAGCTGCTGAGCCATCTCTTCAGTGCAAACAATCCATTCTTAGCCCCTAGAACACTTGCATCCAAGCAAATGATCCTTTCAAAGGAGGTACTTCTACTGTGCTACTTGAGGTGTTGAAGGATCTGGAAAATGAACATTGTTCTATACATTGGCTATGCAAACTTCCTTCCACAGGGACAACAGCTTTGAACCAGCCAATGAAATGAGTGGTATGACCCATATACACACAGCTCATAGTGAAGAGGGGCTTCCCCCAGTCAAGAGTGAGAAACCATTCCTACAGAAGATTCCAAGGTCCTTCAGAGTCAAAGTTGTAGTGATCACATCTTCCTGTCAGTGCAAAGCGGTTGCGGATTTCATCTAGCCAGAATGCTGTACAAAACCAGGTTCTTTGTGGTCGCCACCTGACAGGTTAAGAAATGTTGGCATAAAAAGACGTGGCAAAACTGGACGGTGGTGGCATATGCCTTTAGTGTGAACATTCGAGAGGCAGAGACAGACAAATCTCTGAGGTCGAGGCCAGCCTGGTCTACAGCGTGAATTCCAGAACAACCAGGACTACTCAGAAAGACCTTGTCTCAAAAAATGAAAAAAAAAATGTATATATGTGTGTGTGTATATATATACATATATACATTTTCCCAGGCATTTTCCAAAGGCAAAAGTACAAGTCATCAATAACTGTGAATAAGAATATTTAAAATATAGTACACACCACAAATCTGTACAGAAGGTTTCAGCAGCTTTGTTCCTAATTGCCCCAATCTTAGCAACATCATAGATCTCCTCCAGTAGAACAATGGACAAATGGGATACTCATTGCTAACAAGTAAAGAAGTAAGCTACCGAGCCACAAGATGACACGGGGATGGCAGGCTAGGAAACTGAAGATGTGACTTGCTTACTAGTTTGCCTGGCTTCCCTAGAGTCTTAGGTTCAATCCCGAGAACTACAAAACTTGGTGTGGTATTCCACACCAGTAATCCCAACAGTAGAGAGGTGGGAGGCTGGCAGAGCAGAGAAGTTCAAGGTCAACCGCAGCTACATGGTAAATTGGAACCCAGCCTGGACTACTTGGGACCCTATTTCAAAAGATATGGGGAGATAAACGACACCAAGATCGAGGACAAGATGATGCCCGGGCTCTCTTCTCCACTCACCAAGCTCGGCCGATACTCTGTCCTGGTCCTTGGTACGGCGGCGGTGCCCAATGCTACCGATACCTAAAACCCGGGGCAGAGTAGGAGAGGATGGCAGCAGCGGAAGGAAAGAAGATACTAGATGAGCTGAAAGGTGTAAGAGAGAACTGGCAGAAGCTCAAAATGACAGCATATTCAAGTGAGGCACTAGTAAGTTTGCCTTTCTCTAGTGGGGAATGGATAAAGCTTTGTTGCATGAAGAAAATATATATATTATATATATATATATATGAGATAGATAAGTAGGTGAAAAGCTATGTAGGAAGTTTAAATAAGTATTAATATGAAAAATGTCACTAGGTTACATATTGTATAATTCTAACATCTAATACTGTATCTGGTGAAAGGCAAAACTACAGAGCCAGTAAAAGATCACGCCAGAGGTTCGACATGCAGTGCATGGAAGATTATATTTTTTTTGTAGAGGATTAAATACTCTGTGTCATAACATGAAGATGGGGACATGTCCTCAGGCACTGCTCAAACAACACCAAGAATGAGCCCCAATGTAACTCTGGACTTCGTGGGTGATGATGGCCAGTGGGCTATAATAAGCGTACCACTCTAGAGATGCAAACCTGCAACAAGGCAGCATTTGCACTAGAGAACCTAGGCCAAAGGAAATATCACAAGGAGCTAGTGAGTTGGAGAGGAAGCTTGGTGGTTAGGAGCACTGGCTGCTCTTCCAGAGGACCAAGCACACACATGGTGGCTCACAAAGGTTCGTAACTCCAATTCCAGGGATCTAGCCCCTCTCTCCTGGCCTCTGTGGGCACTGTATGCATGTCGGTGAAACACCCATATGGATAAAAATATTTTAAATGAGGAGATATTGCTTAATAATTCAATTACTCAAGAGGCTGGGGCAAAAGGATATGATTTGAGCCAGCCTGAGGTATGTATAGATTCCCCGTCTCAAAACAAAACCAATATGGTTAGCAGAAATCAAATAGAAAAAGACATTGGTTTCTTTTCAAAGATGTGCTTTTATTTTATCTGTATTAGTGTTTGCCTGCTTGCATGTATATATGCATGTATGTGTGTATGTATGTGTACCACCTGTGTGCCTGGTGTCTGTGGAGACTAGAAGAAGGCATCATACCCTCTGGAACTGGAATTACAAATGTGTGTGAACCATCAAATAGGTGCTGGGAACCGAACCAGGTCCAGAAAGAGCCAGTGCTCTTAACCAGTGAACCATTGTTGCAGTCCGCAGAAAAGTATATTTAAAAATAAACAACATAGATAAGAAAGTCATGTAAACAGGACTCCTTTCAGCAATTGCTCAACATTTCTGACAGAGAGAACTATTTATAAAAATCCCTAACATGTGACTACCATTACCTCAGAAATTTCACCTTGAGAAATTAGTCCAGAAGAAATCACCTGAATTTACCTGCAAGGCAGTCATCTGAATTTTTTTTTACGCCACAACCCCAAATTTAAAAACCTATATGTGCAACTAGAGGATTATGACTGAACAAGTCGTATAAAACTCATAATGTAAAAATCTGTTTAGATACATGGAAAAACCGTTGGCACTTTCCTAAGTGGAAAAAAAATGAACTAGCCGGGCGGTGGTGGTGCACGCCTTTAATCCCAGCACTCGGGAGGCAGAGACAGGCGGATCTCTGGGAGTTCGAGGCCAGCCTGGTCTACAAGAGCTAGTGCCAGGACAGGCACCAAAGCTAACAGAGAAACCCTGTCTCGAAAAACAAAAAACAAAACAAAAAAAAAGAACTATAAGACAGTATTGTTGAATAATCTTGAGATTTCACAGACATGGTGATTTGTACATGGATCTACGTAGAAAAGAGCAGGAACATCTGCCAATGAGTTCCTAATGGATGTTTCTGGGTTCTGGGGTTATATAGGTGGTATTATTTTTTTTTTATTGCACACTTTCCTATTTTGATAAGGTATACACATGACTTTGGATCTGTGTTTTTAAAAAACAAGTAAAAGGAAATGCCCAGTACTAGTTTAATTCAATTTTGCACCAGGTATCTAGGCATGGTACATGCCTGCCATCCCAGCATTTGAGAAGCAGAGGCAGGGGAATCAGGAATTCAGGGTCATCCTCAGCTATGTGGTGCATTTGAGTTCAGCCTGGTAGTAGTTAAGATCCCTCTCAAAAAACAACAACAATACAATAAAAGCCATGCCCCAGAGTATGTTAACAGAAGTAAGTCCCTGTCCAGAGTTCTTGCTGCTGGGGGCAGGGGATGACATGGAGGCCTAAACTGCAAAAGCTCTCATGTACTTTTAGGCGATTATTTCTGCAGAGTCAATGCAGCCAGAGAAAACCCACTTTCTCTCAAATGCGGTGTTTAAACAGTTTGCATTTGGGATCAGGGTTGGCAACAGGGCAATTGCTGTGTATTAGTGACACAGCTCTATTTACCTGGGGCTTTGGGGACCCTGAGCTGTGTATCGCCATCCTTGCATTCAAGGGCACACTGGAGGGAGAGTGAGGACGGCTGGTATGAGTGTGAACACAGCTCCACAAGCCTTCGTGTTCTAGTGCACATCTCTGGGGAAGCCAGACTGCTCCTAGAAACAGTCTGCCTGCCACTTCACATTTTCCCTGTGATAACCTTTATTCTTTTTTGAAACTGTGTTTTTTGAAATACTTATATTTATATCATTTTTAAATTACGTGTGTCTGTGTTCAGTATGTGCATATGAATGTAGGAGCCTGTAGAGTCCAGAAGCAAGGGTTAGATCTCTTGAAGATAGTTATAACTAATTGTGAGCCACTTGATTGGATGCTGAGAACCAATGTTTCACAGGGGTCCCATATCAGATATCTTGCAAATCAGATATATACATTATGGTTCATAATAGGAGCAAAATTACAGTTACGAAGTAGCAATGAAAATAATTTTATGGTTAGGGTCACCACAGCATGAGGGGACTGTATTAAAGGATCACAGCATTTGGAAGGTCGAGAACCACTGCAAAATATATGCTTTTAGTATCTCATTTATACATTATAGAAACAATTAGTGATAGTGCTGGTCCTGTCTTTGTATTCTATTGCCATTTAGTGTATGTAAGTTCATGGCAACTGTGCCTATTTTGTATAAAGCTTAATAATATTAAACTAGATTAATATCTACTTTTAAGAGTAAACTTCCTGGGCGGAGTGTGGTAGTACACGCTGTAAAGACTCTGCACTTGGGAGGCAGAGGCAGGCAGATCTCTGTAAGTTCGAGGCCAGCCTTATCTACAGAGCGAGTTCCAGGACAGGCTCCAAAGCTACACAGAGAGACCCTGTATTGAAAGACCAAACAAACAAACAAAAATAAATATTACACAAACAAAAACACCCCCTGAAGACGATATTGTAGTATTTCTCACAAGTATAGAGACAGCTGTACAAATAAGTAAA